TCTGCCCAAACCTCAAGTTAGGGCGCTCTCCCCTAAGGTATGTTGATGATCAATTGTTTGTCATTTAGTTGTCTTCAAATTGTTTGTAGATGCTAATCTTTTGAATAATATCATTCTCAATAATATTCTATAGCAGGTATTAAGAGTTTCATTAATATGTCAGCATCACATTGCTTATTGTTTATGTTTGGTTTCAACCCTATGAATGTCCTACAACTCTATCTCTCTATCTTTCTTCTTTTCAATTATAGCAACACCAATTTTCCTATTTGCAAAGTGTATAGGATTATCTCTTACATAATAAAGTAGCTGATCTTAGCTAGACTTAACTGGTTTATGCATAAAATTACATCCTTTATGCTTTTGATTAAATTTCGTGGATATTTTGAATGATAATCTACATCCTTATTACAAGGCAATTACATATTTTGTTTCTTTAAATACCAAGTTTGATGTAAAAGGAATTTTGGGCACGGTTTTATGTTAAATGGGAGTGGCATCATAACCTTTGATCAAAGCTATGTACTGGAAGTATGACCAAGGAATTTCAAATGTGTACTTGAGCCTTCATAGTTAAGTCTAATTTTGGTGTTCCTTACTCTTATGGTTCAATGTCACCCATATGAATTTTGTATCTCTGCAGTGTGTTCATATTGCTGTTTTCCTCATTTCCATATGCTGGGTGACCTTATCTGTAATTATTCTCTTTCTCATGTTACACAATTTTGCTTCTATATGAATTTGTGCAGCAAAAAGGGTTTTCTGTGATACTCTCATATGTGTCCCTCAGTTTCTGGAATTACTACTAAGAGGCAGCTTTATCTGCTGAGTTAGGGATGCGAGCACTTGATTTGGCTGTTGGTCGGGCTGCCTCAGCTCATCCAGTTGATGATCGAGGGGAGGAACATCCAAATGATTTAAATTCTGATCCAGATGAAAATGGTGTATTGAAACCAGGTGGACACCTGTGTCTTAACTTCTAAGAGTGAGGATGTTAAAGGTGAGAATTTACTTCAACAAACAGTTAATTATCGAAGAGGTCATGGTATTATTATATATCATTTCTTTGGCGTGTCAGAATTAACCAATTTGCAAACCACTCTTCAGAAAGGCATCATGGTTGCGCCTAAAGCTACAAGATCTCATCCAAGAGTTTTATTTATTTGTCAAGGTTTACAGTCATAGGGTAGATTCACAATTGAAGTCGAGCAACATGCACTTGGCAATGCGAAAATGACTTTCCGCTGTATTCAGTCATTGTAATATTTGTTGCATTATAAAAACATTCGAAGCAGGCATATGTTACAGAATATGTTGAGTTGTAGAATCTGTTCAGGATATTCATTCAACTTTTTGTTCTATGGAATACTGGTGCTCTTTCATAGAGACTAATCATATGCTTGAAATCACATTTATACTATCTTTTTCCTGGTTAGACCACTTTACAGACCTCTCAACTGTAAACACTTGAAAATATACAACGTGAAAACCAATCAAATAAACAGACATACCAAGCCCTCTCAACTGGTGCTCTTTCATACAGACAAACCATATGCTTGAAATCTGTTACATTTACACTTTCTTTTTCCTGGTTAGACCACTTTACAAACCTCTCAACTCTAAACACTTGAAAATACACAAAGTGAAAACCAATTAAATAAATAGACATACCAAGCCCTCATAACATTTATGGTTGTAGCTGCTTCTATACTTTTTTGGTATCTCCACATGCAAACTAATTTACAATATAATATATATATATATATTGGCCAAGAGTTTGTTATCGGATATGGGTCCGTCCTAATGACCAAAGACTAGTATCTTTGACTGGTGCCTGGAAACATAAAGAGAAGAAAAAGGCTCCATTAGGAGAGCAACAAAAGCTATATTATTCAGAGAATTGACTTATATCGAAATGCCATAAACTTACAGGTGCTTTCATGGATGGGAAGATGTTCCAGAAGCGCAAAGTCTCATCCCCTGCTCCAGTCACTATTGTCTGCAGGATAACATAAAATTGGACTTTAAGATTTTCTAATACAGGAACTTTACAAATGAATCTAAAAGAGAATTATATAAAAGGATTAATCACTGAAGAAAGATTACCAACCTGTCCATCAGGTGACGTTGCAAGATATAGTACTCGCAAACTATGGCCAGTTAGAGTTGCAACCTATCATAATAAAAAATGGTGGTTATTATGTTACATTAGATAGCTTGTTTTATAGTTTTTCAAATGTCTGCACAGAAACATGATAAGTAGCATGGACTGATCTCAGTTGCTATATGAATCCCTCAAAATCTAGTTTTTCAAATGTACTTCATTAGACAAAATTGTACATACCTTTGCCATTGATGGATACTTCCACACCATAATCTGATTCTGGGAATATCCGTGAGTGCTCACAAGCTCATTCACATTTTTACTCCATGCTAGATTGCATACCTGCAAGTAACATAATATGAGTGAGCATGGTGTTCATTGGCACACACAGCACTAAATCTATTTATGCAAGAGAATTTCACTCTTGCTAAACACTATGCAAAGCAACACTCCTGTAAAAATATGCATGTCAAAAATATTATTAACCTGGCTCCCAGTGTCAACACTATTTAACTGATGACCATTGGCAGTGTTCCAGAAGCGAATACACCGATCAGCAGTTCCTCCTCCAGAAGCAAGAAGGCCACTCTGATGGGGTGACCAAGCAATGGCCTTCACTGCAGCTGTATGTTCTGTCAATTTCAGAATTGGTTGCTGAGAATGTAGGTTCCAGACCAGGAGCTAATACAACAGCAGCACACACCACATTAAATTAGTATTGCTATCACTAGTAGTAGAACTGTAAAGATAAATAAATATGAACCTATTAACACATATGAACTGATTTTATTACCTGATTATCATTTCCACCAGATGCAAGCTCCCTGTCATCATGGGACCATTTCAGCCCACATACCTGTGAGATCATATAGAAGGTTAAGGCAGCTGTGTTTCTTATGAATTGAAATAAACTTGTTTAATTTCTTTTTCATCATTGTGTCCAATAAGCTTTACCTCAGATTTGTGTCCAACAAGCTTGCCAATGAAATCACTTGAAACACGAAGATCGTGCTGAAGTATGTTTCGGTCTCTACTTCCCGATGATAGTATGCGCGAATTCCACGCCAAGACTCCAGCTCTTGTTTGATGGCCACCAAAAGTTCTTACCCTTTTGCACTGCGTACCATCCCATACCTGTGAAACAGGCCAAAAGTGCTCAACAAAAATCTTGTTTAACAAATAAATGTCATATGCAGAAAACATGATATGAGAGAAACAATTAGTTACCTGAACTTGACCAAGAGTTGTACCAATTGATATATATGAACCTTCCCGGGTCCATTGGACAGAACATACACTGTCACTAGGCCCCAAGTCACACAATTTTGTTACCTGAAAATAAGATTATGTTGAAATTTAGCAAACCCATTCGACGCTTTTCAACGGCAACTAAAAAGAATTAGAGATACAGTGGTAAAAGATTTTGCGATAACTCAGCCCTTCTATTTGTTATAACCATACTAGTAAACTTACTTTGCTATTTGATGCTGTCCATAGATAAACACAAGTGCCCAACCCAACAGCAAGTACATTTTGGGATGACCAATCCACCAGGTTCAAATAGAAGTCATCTTGAAGAGATGGAGCATCCAAAACCTGCAACCATTGACTTTCAATTACCAACCATGTTTTAAGTTTTCTCTACCAACATATTTCTGCTGCCTATAATATCTTTGAATCTTAGAGGATTCATCTGTAAGGTTCTCTTCAAAACAAAACTTCCTCTTAACCGATACACACTTTTAATACGTTTAACACAAAGTTTTAATTTCATCTTCAAATTGATGCTTAAATCCTGAACTGAAATCAACATAAAAGCAGTAGCAAATATCATAAAACAGGCCTCACTTACCTTGTGTGGTGTTTTAGGAACTTTTCTTGGCAGCTTAGGCGGAGTAGAGGTCTCACTAGAAAAGCCATTATCATGCCCCAAGATTGAAGGCGAGTAAGGAGAATTAGGCCCAGGAGAATGGTCAGTTTTAAACCTCAACATATTCTTGCTAGGACTCATTGGCGAGCCTTTACCTGCAGGAGAAGAAACAGAAACGAAATCAGCCCCAAAAAGCTCAGACTTTAACAATCTATTATAAGCCTCATTCCCTCCTTCTTTAACAGGCGATTCTTTCTCAATCAGCTCAAAAGTATGCAATCTTGAAGAAGATCTGCACGGAATGAATCTATCACTGCAAGTTGATGATCTTGATGAAGGTGATGATAGGTTCGATATTGTGCGAAAAGAACCCGAAAAATCAAGTATCAGAGAAGTCTCGTTCATTCCAGCTGGGAGATTAAGCCCAGATTTTTTCGTTTGAGGAGAATCCATTTCTGTGAGCTTTTTTGGATATTTTCTCTTTGCTTCTTGGAGTTGATAGAGGAAGTGGGTATGTTTGTTTCTTAAGAAAATGAGAGGTAGAAGATGGGAAAAGGCCTCTCTCCGCAAGCAAAGAGAGGGCTTTTCAAGAGAGCTTGGTTTTGTAAAGAGCAAGATTTGCAACGGTCAAATTTTGTGAATGGTAAGGTAGGGCATAATAGGAGCGGTCTTTTTATACGTTTAAACAAAGAAAGCTTTGTATTTGTTTCGTTATACACAATAATATTCTAACGGTCAATTTCATAAATCAAAGCTGTCAGTTGATTTATTTTTGCCAAGTAATGTAAAATCGAAAATAGCCGTTAGTTATAATTCACAATCTTATTTACTTATTATTTTAATGCAATTGGATGGATGTCTCTGAAAACATAACATATTATATTGTAAATTAATGGAAAGTTCCATTTAATTCTTTAATACCCATATGATTTTTCCTGCTTCTGACCTCCATTTGGACGATATTTTTATATGTCAAAATCATAAACGAAAATCAGATTACCCACTTCATCCACAAGGTTTGAGTGAGAACACTATATATGTGGCAGCCATCTATCCATTTATAAAAGCTAAAATAGTATTCAAATTATATCATCAGAATGGCAGCAATCTGAATGAGCTGCCGGAGAATCCAACATTTTTGGTCTTAAATATAACTAATTTTTTAATTGCTATCTCATGTCACGAGATGATTGACAAGTGGGAAGAGCAACTGATTATAATGTATACCGCAGCTGATACCTACGAAGCCAGTCCTCACCCTTCTCATAATAATCCATTCTAGTAAATGTTTGTTCTGTAAACTGCAACTTAGCAGCATATAAAGAAGCACCCCGCCATGCATCAAGAACTGGATCTAATGCTCTAACCACGTTTATGGGTGCCCCACAAGGTCGAATCATTCGAATTCCTGCTTCTAAGCGCTGGCTCATACCAGGGAAAAGACAGCATCCACCAGTCATGAAAATTGAACTTGTCAATCTCTGCTCCAGATCTTCGTCCTTCGATGGTAATCTTCTTATTGATACCCCCGCCATCTCGTCTAACCCTACCTGATCAATTCCAACCAAGTTGGGATGAAATAAAATTTCAGGGCAGCGAAACCTTTCAACCCCAAGAACAATTTGGAAATCTTCCTTGGTAAGAGGACGGAGCCGTGGTGCCTCGGCAGCAGATTGTGGAAGTACTAATTCTTGCTTGGGAACAAATTTTGGGTCTATCTCCTGCCACATTGAAGATTGATGATTAGAAATTATTGGTATTGAAAAATTCAGACAAAAAATATGTCAGAAAAATTCAGAGCTCCTCATTACATATTAGGATAAAACTGACCTGCAGCCTAGAAGAGACGCGGGCCAGCTCAGCTTCATCTGCTTCTGCTCCCTCGTCATCATCGTCATTATCTCTGCTCATCAGTTTGTAGAGTTGCCAATCTTCATCTTTTGCACCAAAAGTGTCCTCACCCTTCCCTCTATCAAAGGCAGCCGTTGTTAAGAGGCGCATCCTTTCCCTCTGGGCAGCATTCAATCTCTCACCACGGCCCACCCCTCCAGATGTATTATTTCCATTTGTGTGGCTCCCGTTGGTCTTAAGTCGTTTTCGCTGGTCAATTCTCTCAGAAAGCTCTTTGTACTTAGCCCGCATTTGCTCAGCATAAAGTTCAGGGTTCTCTCTACATCAAAAAGAAAGAGACAAGTTATTATTATTATTTTGGGGAGAGGGGGCTTGGTGTGAAGTGTGAAGTGTGAACATGAGATTGGCACATACAAGCGTCTTTCTTCATCTTCTTGATTTTTTCTTTCTCGTTCCAATCCCTCATCAACACGTTTCTGTTTAGCTCGCTGGCGCCCCTCAGTTGTGGTTTTAAGAAAAATCTGTCTCCTCTTCTCCTTAAGCTGTATAGAGACCATAGCCAAGAGTAATTTTATTACTAAGGAGAAAATCAAACGAGGGGGGGAGGCAGGTAGCAATGTAGTTCTTTGCAAATGCGCAATAATGCACACTCATACTAAGCAGCATCCTAAACACTTCATAATAAAAACCTATTGCAATGATTATGCACTTTTTCTTCATTTTCTTTAGTTTTGGTTCTTTGGGATTGAGTACCTGCTCAGAGGTCAGCATGTTGTCAGGAATTTGAATAAGAGGATACTTTTCATTCATAGAAGCTTCTGTCTTCTCCTCAACTTCAGCTTGTTCACTCTTTGGTTCACCTTTAGCTTTTCGTAACGATTGTGTTACTTTTGCAAGGGAAGATTCTATTTCCTGCTTGGAGACATAGCCAGTGGCTGAAAGGAATGATGGAATGTCATTCGCTTCCACTTGTTCAAGTTGCCGTAAAAGAAACCCCAAACCATGCAATTCATTTTCCAGTTCATTTATTCTAGAAGACCTCTTTGCTTCAGCCATCTCTCGCAAACGTTGCCCTTGTCTCTCTTTGATAGCTGCCTTTCTTGCAATCTCTTCTTCTGAAGGAGGTTCCTCAGTTGGTGGTGGAACCCATGGGAGCTGCCAACACCTGGTCTTATCCTCAGCTTCTTTGGTCCCTTTCTGTCAAAACGACTGCATCAGTTACCTTCATATGTAGAAGGAAAGAGTGGAAGGAGAGAAGAACCAAGGACATTACCTGAAACAGTCGAGCTTCTGAAAAATAATCTGGTGCAATGTAACAATGCTCCATTTTCAGGTCTTCAACCTTCTCCCATGTAAGCCTAGCCCTATTTAAGCATTTCAAAAAACACGATTAAAAGCTTTGTACAAGTCGGTTCAAAATAATCAATGCCAAACCAAGCTGAATTTACACTCACATATGATGAGGGTATTTAAGAGAAAGAAGTTGTTTCAAGTAATCAGTGACATGGTATCCACCAATATTAGTTCGGCAGGAACCTCTGTAAACAGGCTCTCCTCCAACAAACTGTGAGTCAAGGAGACATGTATTATTACATCAAAGTTCAATTGTGACAATATTCTATAATTTTAGTAATAATCTATTCTGGAAACACAAATACACAAACAGTACCACAATATTGAACCCAAAAAGTAACATAGGGGTTCCAGAATAAACTTGTTATTGTTAATTACACAACTGCAAACAAATTTAGCAGTGGTAAAAATTTGAATTAACAAGGTTACTTACACTAAAGGACATGTTGACATATATGTGCATACACAGAAGTGAGCATGCATGAGGAGGGAATCATATATTAGAAGTTCAACCTTGCTAGGTATACACAGATCAAACCTCTAAAAGGATTCACCAAAATGAAACAAAATCAAGATGCTATGACTTTAACAATGATGATGCGAAATGAGACTTAACAGAGAAAGATCCAAGCACCATCCGATTCATAATATCATTTATATCATGACAAGCAGCTATAAATGCTCCTCAATAGAATTAAACACCAGCCACCTGTACCTAGCAAACAAATCCATATACACAAATATCACATATTGAGGTTAAGGGACTTACTGGAATAACATGAGTAGTGGAAAATCCAGGACAGATAGCAAGACCATCTTGACCACAAATCCCATGTTGCTGATTGTACTTATAGCTGAAAGCCGCATCAACACCAAATGCTGCGATCACATGTACAATACAAATTTAAAAATAGATTAGACTTATAGTATTTGATCCCACAATTCTGAAGGAAGAACATAAGAAGGAAAGGGAACATTTACAACCACCCGGCCAATCATCAGTTGTTGCTCCAACAAGCTATGGCTTATTGATGCACTAAATAAATTTGAATCCCGATCCGACAGAAGTTTCATAAATAAGAAAGTTTTGATGTCTTACCTATTGATGGAACTCCATAAGTTTCAAAAAGAAGTTCTGCCATTTTACTACGAGAATGAACAGGGTTGCAAACACATTCCGTGATCAGGACTGGATGATCAATCTGTTCTGCCCTCAAATGAACATAAATCAAGAAAAGGTCAAGTTAACAGACAAGGTAAGCAGAAATCTTAGATACGCAGGACAGTCTAAAACTGAAAATTAAGAATATAGAATCGTATATCGTGCATGCAAATAAAAGAAATTTCACAATCTTAACTAGCCTGTTGACAATTGACAAACCAAGATTACATATCATTCCCATCCCTTGTGATCTTTAAATGCCGATAAAACCTAAAATCTGATACATTTCACTGAATTACTTACATTGCAAACAACCAAAAGACACACTCTTCACAAAAATCAATAGAAATCCATAACAAAAAGATAGCTCAACATGCATCAAGGTAGACTTAAGAACTGGGTGTAAAACTAAGCCTTTAGAAATGAAAACATCAAATACATGCATATGAACTTCAAACCATATAAAAAAGCAAAACAAACTGTCAATTACTTTACCCCTGACCCATTTGCGCCAAGCCGATCAAAAGCAAAGTCCAGAATCTGCAAAAACACAAAACAAACTATATGAAACCACAATTTTCTCCAAAACACAAGTGCACATAACCCAACGAAACATTTGATCAAAGCCATTGAAATCGAAATGACCAAGCAAACACAAATAACATAAAAAACTGGGCATACATATTCCATAATCTCAAACTGATAAACGACGTCGTTGTCAAACGCTGACCGAGGCCCAGAGCGCGTGCAATCAAAGTACTTCAACAATGCAGGGTCATGATCACCAACTATACTTACAGTTTCGCCCGTAGTCTTGTGGCGAGGTCTTTGAACAATGTTGCGAAAAATAACACGTGGCTCTGTTTCTCCAGCCCAGCTGAGAATGGAATTGAAAGCAATTAAAAACATAATTAGAATTGAGTAAACAAATGAAGAAGGGTTAAAAATTAGGGTTTTGAAGGTACCCAATACGAAAATAGGAGGCCCCATTGTCGATGACGATGGGAGTTGAGGAAGGAAAGAGATTGTAATCGGTTTGTCTCTTGATTTTCGATATGAAAGGCATTTTTATTTTTTTTTAGCCTTTCTCTGGCTGTTGAAACAAAGGAGAATGAGGGTTTTGAAACTGTTGTCTTCTTTAGTCTAAGCGAAAGAGAAAGTGTCTGCGTGACTGTGTCTCACATGCTGTTGAGAAGATAATCAACCAGTGACGCTGACCCGGCCGGTTCAATTGACTGCAAAAACAAACCATCTAAAACTGTTTTTTGTTTTTTTTTTAAGTATTAAAACTTACAAGATGATGTGATGTAGTTAAATAAATTAAAGTTACTCGTTTAATATTAAAAATAAAAGTAATTTTATGAATATAAACAAATGATATATGATGTGGCACAAAATAAATAAAAAGGTGAATATTATGATTTTGACTCTTGTATTCATACTTCTATTCAGTTTGTATATAAATCTTTGTATGATTTGTTTATACATCTTATATTATTGTAAAAGTAATTAGAATTTTATTATCAATAATACTATAATTAGTACCAACTCTTACTAACCATCATACTACTTGACATGGCCGTCGATGTAATAGATGTCATCTCATTTGCCACATCACTCACTCACCACATTAGATACTCCCATAATTAAAAAAAAAAAAAACATCATTTCGAATGTAAATAAAATTTTGGCTCCCAAATTTCAAAACCTAAATCTTGAGTTCTCTCCCAAATAATATCAATCCCTAAATGAGCATAAGCACGACTAGTAGCAAAACCCAAACAATTGGCTTGATCTCAAAATTATTCGTCTGAACTGGTGGTCTCTTAATGCTAAAATAGCACCCTTCAACAGTAGGACTATAGTAGTCCTTCAACGCTCTTTGAACAACTACAACTCCACCAGTTGCATTTACCGCTAGGATTTCCTCATTCTGATGCTTTTGATTTTTCATATTGAGATTTATAATTCCCTTGTCAACCACTGATTTTCTAAGATGGCTTGCCTCTTTTCTTTTCTCAATTGTTTAGCCGTTTTCTCAATCTCAGAATTGCGAAGATTAAGATCACCACCACCTTTAGAACGTAAGCTCTCCAAAATCTAAATGAAAGAAACAAACACAACAAAATAAAATAAAATAAAAATTAATTTTTTTTAAAACAAATCAAATTAGCAAATAGATAGTTCGTAATAATATTGGTAAAAAAAAAAAAGTAGTTCCCCAACAATGACACCAAAAACTTGACAGGTTATTCGCAAGTATACAAAATCTCGCAAGTAATAAAGATCGAGTAACGAGTATTGAATCCTAAGAGAACTATTACTTAAGAAGTATCAAACCAATCTATCTTATTACTATTTGATAAATCAAAATCCTTAAGAAATAAATATTAAAAGTAAAACAAATTAAAAAGTAAATAGCAGCAGAATTATTATCAAACTTTCGTTGAAAATCAGTATGACTTAAATCTATGGCACAAATTTCACACCAATTTAATCATATGCATTGGCAATTATTACTAACTTAATTAAGCTTATTTTAAAGGCAATATTTCCTAATATTTTACTAACTTTCTCTCGAATAATTAGCGAATTAACTCTTACGTAACAATCCAAAATATCTCTAAGTTGTATTTAGAAGTTAAAAGATCATTAAGTTTTATAGAATTTACCAAAACCTCACAAATCGCGGTAATATATCTCTAGCGTTCGCTCAATCTGTGGTTTTATTACATTAAACTAATTAGGCTTCATCTCTTGATCTCAACCCAACCCATGACATCATTCAACTCTTGGATCCATAAGAATTGAAAGCATTACACACAATAATAAAACTTAGAACAATGCTCGATTAAAATTAACAACAATAACGTCAATACATATTCATAAATTAGGCTATATCTTTAGCCATAAAAAAGAAATCTAGTTCATAATTGCAGTACTAGAAACACCCATGGTATTCAATAAAATGAGTTCAAGAAAGAAAATAGAAAGACTACACTAATTGGTGAACGAAAACTACAAGAATCCTAATCTCCAAAATAGTGGTTGCTCTTCTCCCTTTCTAATCTCCCTAAAAACTAATTAAAGACCATTATTTATAGTGTTAGGGTTTGAAGGTTAATTAGGAAAGAAGGCATGTCAGATTCAGATGAGGAAATAAAACAGCCCATCTAGGATCGCATTCCAACGCTACAACGACAGAAACAGTCATTGCAGTGATCCTTCTTTCTATCCCATGAGTCTGATGTCTTCAAAATTTTGCAAAGTCATCAACATAAGCTTTGTAGCCCTCTGAATAATCTTTCCAACGCCATAAGAATCATCAAATTCCAAATTCTACAGCTCAAGTTATGATCAAAACATTGAAACATGCTCATCTTGAAGAATTTTCAGGTTTTAAGTCTCATCTTCAACGCATCATAACTTCCTAATTTCAATTCTGATTCTTGCACCGTTTATTCCTACTCATCACAAATTCCATCAACATCATTATTCTTTATTCACATATCATTTATAACCTAAAAATACACCCGTGATCACATAAAAATGAAATAATTAACTCAAATTTCGCAATTTAAACTAATTTTCTCACAAATAATCCAATTGAATCACTAACCAAACACGTATTTTCAAGCTCTTATCATAGCATATGAGCATGATAGGAATACAAGAGCTTCAATCAAAAGGAAAACTACCAGAGTTAAAGTCGATTGGTCATAGTTTGTGTGAAAGTTGCATCTTCGGCAAATGAAGAAAATTGAGTTTTTCCAAAGTAGCAAGGGAACCAAGGGCAAATAAGTTGGAGTTAGTTCATACAAACGTGTGGGGACCCGCTCCCATGTCATCTCTTGAAGGCTCAAAGTATTATGTGACGATTACTGATGATGCAAGCAGAAAAGTATGGGTTTATTTTAGCAAAAAAAAAAAAAAATGATGTCTTTGATACTTTTAAAAAGTGGAAAACAATGGTTCAAAATGAGACAAACCTAAGGGTGAAGTGTTAATCCGATAATAGGGGAGAGTACATTGATCAAGGGTTCAAAGAATATTATGCTAATAATGGGATCAAGATGGAGAAGACCATTCCTACAACTCCTTAACAGAATGGTGTCGTCGAAAGGATGAACATAACCCTAAATAAGTGTGCAAGAAGCATGAGATTGCATGCTAAACTACCACATATATTTTATGCTAACACAATTAATACCGTAGCCTACTTGCTCAATAGAAGATCCTCTATACCGTTAAATTGCAAGATCCTATAAGAAGTTTAGAGTGGCAAAGAGGTAATTTATTCTTTCTCAAGAGTGTTTGGTTGTTTAGCCTATGTTCCTATTGACTATACTCTTAGAAGTAAGCTTGATGCTAAATCTAATAAATGTTTTTTCTTTAGTTATGGTGATGCTGAGTTTGGTTATTGTTTCTGGGATGACCAAAACCGCAAGATTATAAGGAGTAGAGACGTCATATTCAATGAAAAAGTGATGTACAAAGATAGACTCAACATAAAGTCAGAAAATCCAAGCATTGAAGTGAAGAAGCAAGAGGTAGTTCTTTTAAAAGATTTCTCAATGAATAACATGCAAGACAATGATCAAGAAGATCAAGATAAAATAGCTTCAGAAGCTGAACCACTAACGTCCATGTTTGAACCTAGAAGATATTTCAGGACTATAAGACTACCACAGAGGTACTTCATTTCATTGTACTACATTTTACTAACTGATGGTGGTGAACAAGAGTGTTACGGGGAAGTAATGCAAGTTGATGACTCAATCAAGTGGGAGCTAGCTATGAAAGATGAGATAGACTCATTATTAACAAATTAAACCTGACAGTTGACAAAGCTACCACAAGAGTGAATATGATGAATTTGACTTTTTGTATTTACTCTTCCATTCATTTCTAGCCACATCACTTTGTACAGAAATCTTTATAAGATGTCTTTGTACCTCCATTACCCATAAAACAAAAGATTGAGTTACTATAACTTCACCCATAACTAAAATAATTTTACACAATCTCTTGAATTTAGATGTGTATAACTGTATTTGTATTCATTTTAGGAAGATGTGGAGTAAACAACTTCCCCCCCAAATAATGGATTAATGACATTTTTCTATCCACATACTTTTAAAATACTACTTTACTACCCCACATTATCACAATTTTCTTTCCCGATCATCACTCACCAAAACCCCTTAAACCTAACTCCCGTCAATCGCGCAATCGAACGATTAAGGTTTGCTTAGCCGCTCCTTCCAAGTCTAATTCCGATCAATCCCAACCTCTAAAATTCAACCTTCCACCACCAAAAGACTCATCTGCCTCGTCTTTTCAAAAACCCCAATAGCCTAGATCGAGTTTGATCTTTGTTCGTCCTCGGAATATAAATTTGGGTAGTAAAATAGTATTTTAAAAGTCTATGGGTAAAAAAGTATTATTAAGCCATTATTTGGGTGAAAAAAATCGTTAACTCAAGATATTTCATATTACCACAATTGTATAGCTAATGAAATGTCATGATTCAATTTGTTGTTTTGATTATACATAGAATGCCTTGTGTTCTTAAGTTTTAACCGGCAATAGAGTTATTATCTTTGTCCTCTCGTATCCTAAGTTTACATGATGAAGAGAAATAAGTGATAATTTTATGAAATGGAGGGATAATTTCCAGAATCTTATTAAATATTTGCTTATACTTTATTCCATACTGTTGAAAGGCCATGAAATATAGTCCAAAGTAGATCGAACTGAGCTAACTATGTTCATTCTAACACGGCCCATTTGTTCTCATCACTGTTGAAAATGAAATTACACATTTCTGGAACAACCTGACTTATACACCCCAAATCATGTCACATCAAATCAAAATGGTCAAACTAGAGGATAAAAATGTACTACTATAAATTTTTTTCCCCAACGCCCAGACAATTGCTATCCAACTCATTCTCACTGGTACATTCCCTTTATCAAGCCAAGAACCAGACTCTTCTCAACCAATACAGATCATGCTCAAATTGTAAAAAATAATTTGCACAATATTTAATAGGAAAAAAAAATATAATTAATTTTATCAACGTTCAATTATTTTTTTTTTTACTATATTTAATTTTATAATAATAAAACAAAAAATTAATAAAAAAAATATCTTATAAATAGCTAATGCTGTGGCTCGCTCA